CATATTATCCTTATTCTGTATGAAAGATTTCTTAAGTGATCTATTTTAATAATATTTTTAAAATTAATAATATTTTTAAAATTAATTTTCTCATTTTAATGACAATTATGCTACTAATAAATTATTTAATAAATACGCAAGTTATTGTTTATAATGTATATCTTTAAAGATAGATAAGTATTTAAAAATAGAATCTAGCTTAGAAAAGTTTATTGGATGATTTATAAGATTTGAATAAGTATTATTTATTAAATATTTTGTTAATGTTATGTGCATGTGAATGTTTGTTTATTTACATAATAAAGTTGATCTTGTTTGAAGCAATTTAGTTTTATCATATGCTTTTTTTTAAATGAAGCAATTTTTATTTAAGATATACATTATCATTATATATATTATGATATAGTGTAATAATTCTATTAACACATAATATTTTTCATTTGATAATATATTATATTTAAATGCTGTATCATAACATATTGTATTTAAATATTAATCTTTCTATTAATCTTCTATTAATCTTTTTTCTATTAATTTTTTGTCTATTGTGTCAGTTGATTTATAAATGGTTTTGTTATTCATAAATAACTTTAATTCATAAATAATTCTGTTAGTTGTTTCTATAAAAGTTAAAAAATGCACACAGGAACCTTTTCATGTAGAAGTAATTAATTTTCTATAATCATGCATAAATGCATATAAAGATCAAGTGTGTGATCAAAGATGAAATGTTACATTAAAGAAATGTCATAGAAATATAAAAATAAACATGACACATAATATTACAAAATAATAATCAATGCACTTGGTTTTTTGGAAAGAAATTTTTTTATGATCGATTTTATTGTTTACAAAATACTTTTAGGTATATGATACCCTTTTTCTTCTTTTTGATTTTAAATTTATCTTCATTTATCTTCAATGAATTAAAATTTATTGAAAATTTACAAATATGTTATTTTATTTCAGACTGGATATCATAATATGTACATATATTTAGTTATTTGCTTCAAATTATCTCTCTAAGGCAATGAAATAAAAGATTGCAAGAAGAATTTAAATATGCATCTCTTATTATAAATTTTTAGGTAGTATAACGAGTACAATTCAGAGAAATATTAAGTTTTAAATTAATTGTTACACAGATCTAAATTGTATTGTCAAATTGCACTAATAAAAAAATTGTATTAACAAAATATTTTATTTTATCCTGAAGACAAATTTTATGGATTTACCTTGAAGATATTATCAGGGATATCAAAATGAGGTCTCGGGGCATCACTTTATTATCAGAATATGAGATTCATTAGAATATAGATTCAAAAATCTCATAATATAATGTTTTTTATTCTATCTTATATTTGATTTTTAGTTACGAAAAATGGAATTTAGCCGCGACTATCTGTTGACGATGCCACGTACTACTCGCGGGTAAGCGATTCTTTTCGAACTCATTACAAATAGATAAAGAATTTCTTTTAGAACAATTCCGATTTAACAGAAGTAAAAATGTATATAGGATCCTTTTTGAATTGCCGAAAAGGAATTTTCTTTGAGTTTATAACAATCATCTATACAATTTGGAATGTAAATATATGTAAATGGACATAATATATAACAATAATATACGCACGCACGTGCGCAAGAATAGAGAATAGTTCATAAAATAATCTCTATAAAGCTGGATCTCACTATTTAAAAAAAGTTTGAACCGGAAAAAGCAGAGAGCCCATGGGTGTTCCAAAAGATTGTTTATATATGCAGTTGTCAAACTTGAAGATAAAGTTACGAACTAGTGATATTGCTCTGATAAATTTCGATATATTGTATCCAACAGAAATCTCATCTCTTCTCAATGCATAATAAAACTAACAAAGGAGAACCAACCATCTCCATCCAATTTTAATAAGCTTTGAATATGTTAAACTATAAACAAAAATAAGAGACATGTATTTTTTTATATCTATGTTTTCGCATTTAATAGAAAACTGCAGCGTTGTAAATTTAATATTGAACTGACAAGATTAAATCAGAAAGAAAAAAAAACGGGCAAAAATAAAGATTTTAAATATACAAATTGACTATGTATGTATTTTACAGTTTCATTGAATCTATATTATGTATATCTTTTTTATAATTTTGACCTACTAAATGCGATGGCAATATCCAGAATGTCACATTTTCCTGCTTTCACTCTGTGGATTCGATTCGATTTACCTACTTTTGCATGTGCGTATAACCAATCGTCTTGTGGAGTAAATATACAATATAAATATTACAATATTGTATTGAATAATATAAGAGAATATATGATCTTATTCATGTGTTATAATAAAATTTAATATTTTTTAATTTTTTCACATGTAATCTACTTGGAAACACATATATTTGAACATATTTAAACAATCCCTGACAAGTATTGAATTATTAAGATCAAATAGGATATATTTCAAAGAAATTATTTAATAAACTTTAATAAAAAATTTGTGATAGATATTACTATAAAGTACAAAAAACATATTGTATAGTAAAATATTAAAATCTGTAAACTACTCATAAAATACTTAACATAATGTCCAACGTTACTGTCCAGCTACTCAAATATGATTCTAATAATAAATTCTAATATAAATTTCCGATGAACATAAATAAAGTACAAAAATAAAACTTGAGTCTCTTGTGTATTACTGAGAAATATAACAATAATATAATTGATTTGCAGATATAAAATATAGATTAGCTAAAGGTTATAGATTATAGATTAGATAATTTTTGGGAAATTTTAAATAATTTTTATGCATATTTTCTTATACTTTTTATTTTATTTTATAAATTATTTTGTATTTTATAAATTGAATGTATATTTTTGTAATTTGGAAATATCTCAATATCAACTTTCATTAAACTTTGAAGATATTTTATTATTTACATTTATCGCGTTAGATCCATTATCCTTTTTTGTATATTCTTTTTGTATTTAGCAATCTTACAAAGATTGTAACATACAATTTTATTAAAATTTTGGAAATATTTTATTTCTTACGTTGTTTTACATTTTTACATTTAAAATTTTTACATTTTAGCTCCATTTTTTGTATTCAGACCAAAAAAATTTTTTTAAATTATTAAACTAGATATGCTCTTTTTTCTAAGAAACTAAAAAGTATCACTCTAATATATTACTTCAAAGTTTAATGATTTTTGTTTGGAAAAAATTTTATTTTTTTACGAAACGTAATTAAACGAAATATTCGAACGTAATTATTTCACTTTTGTAAATATATTGTTAAGGTGAGCGTACTCACATCTTTAATATACTGTATATTAGAAGAATTTTATAAATTATATATATATATTTTGTATTGTTTATGATAATCAAAATATTTTATGTTGGATTCTTTACAATAAGATTATATTTGTTTATAAACCAGGAGAGAAGAATAAAGAACGCGCCAATATCTAACGAGGCACTATGTGTGTAACTGTTGTCGAGATCACTATAAGGAAATACGCATATGCGAAAAGGAAGAAGATATGAGCATTAGAGAAAGTTCGATGGAAGATGGAAGATCTTATTTAGAAACGATCCACAGAGTAAGCAAATCAGACTCATTCAAACTTCGTTGAAGGAACCGATCCAGAAAAGAATCGATTCTATTTCTTTACTGACTGCGGGAGCCCACTTCGCGCAAGACAATAATATATTATTAAGAAATTTTCAGTCTAAATGATATATAGATAATAATATATAGATAATAAGCTTGATCCGCGTGATAGATACGCAAATAAGCAAATTATCAGTTGTTTGCAGCCGAACGCTGAAAAGTCAAAAGGAGGGTGAAAGTTTTTGTCGACTTGAAACAGATTTCTACGATCCACACACACACACACACACACACACACACACACACGCACGCACGCACGCACGCACGCACGCACGCACGCACACTA